AGCCTTTTCAGCTCCATCCAAAGAGACCTCCATGATTTCCCCTTTCTCCCTGCTCTGCATGGGCTGTAGATTTGCATTTGAAAGAGGGATACAGACACACACACACCACACACAATTTAGAAATACACATATGTTCATTATGCAATACTCTCTCTAGGCTTTAGAGATGTATCAGCCCAGATTCTGGTCCTTCCAGAGCTTATGGTTTGATTGATGGAGAAGATGTGTAACTGTGAAGTACTCAAGATACTAACGTGGAAAATCTATAGCCCATGCAGAGCAGGGAGAAAGGGGGGAGTGTGGAGCTCTCTTTGAAGGGAGCAGAAAAGGCTTCACTATTTATCGGTACCCTTTCAGTTGTAAGTGATAAAGACATTAGTCAAATTAGTTCAAGCAAAAAGGGGATTTATTAATATAGATAATTTAGGAAGCTGAGCGATGGAACTAACTTCATGCGTGACTAGATCTTGGGTCCAAATAATGTATCAGGATCCTGTTTTCTCTGTCTTGAAACTTTACTTCTCTCTTTGCGTTGACCATATTTTCTCCAACATAGGTTCTTTTTTTCTATGTGGCTTGGGAAAATTGCCATTCAGATGCATATCATCTCAGCTTAACCCTAGTATGAAGGGAGAGTTTTTTAAATGCAAATATTTATGCATCTGACCCTAGAATATCTCTTGTTGGTCTCACTTGGGTCACTGAGCCTCTCTCTCCTTAGAGCAGTCACAATTACAAGGGGATAAGGTAGTATGATTGGCCTAAACTGGTTCAGGTGCAAGTCCCGGTGACAAGGATGAGCTGGGGTATTTGTGACTGACCACAACTAGCATTCCCACTAACTCCATTTACAGTGAGTGTAGAAGTGTTCCCAGGGGAAGGAAGACTGGACTGATCAAAACTGACAGGTGGTCACTATAACTTCATTGATATTTAAGCTGTGCTGTCAGAGATGAATAGTGTGTGTCAAATGAAGCAGTAAGAGGTATCCATTAGTGTTAGAAGAAGCAGTAAGAGTAAAGGAAGGAAGACATGAGCCCAGCCTAGCAAGTCTCGACACTGCAAACTCTTATTGAGCTTGGAGCATATGGCTCAGGGATCACAGCTGGAGATGAGGCTGTGAGATAGGAGCCTCAATGGCCATTGCTTTGTCTTATAGGCCGTGGGGAGACACCTGGGCTTTAGGCAAAGGATGCAGATGGTCAGACTTCAGTATTAAAATGTCACTCTGGCAGTAGTGTGGGAAATGGCTTAGAGAAAGCGAGGCGTGGAGGCAAGATAAGTGAGGAAATGCCTTCAGTAATCCAGATGAAGATGAAATGCAAGCAGCTGAATTCACTGGGGAGTAAAAGGTCCTGATGAAGAACAGTTCCAATGGGCAGGGCAGGAGATAAAGGGGAATGTTAGGGCAGTGTGGAGGCAAAAGATGAGGAAAATGGCAAGCAGAATCAACGGACGCTGCCTTTCAATAAGATGAATGTCTAGGGTGACAGATATCTGAGTTGAGTAGGGTCATTTGCTGAGATGAAGAACATAGAAAGAGGAATGGGCCTGAAGGTAGCCAGCGAGGGATGACTGAGAGAGCGATTGCCTGTGTTGAATTGGAGGGATGCCCTGAAAGGTTGCTAGTTCAATACGGGGACCTGGGCCTCAAAGCGGAGATGGAATCCAAGAGCTTTGGAGTGGATGAGAAAGAAGGACCCAAGAGTCACTGAGTTTGTCTTAGTTAAGGAAGGGAGATATCTGGGAAATAGCAGGCTAGCCAGGTGAGGAGCACAGCTCAGAACGCAGCCATCCATCAGGCCAATGTCAAGGACCAAAGGTGTGTTCCTCAGTGGGGTCCTACTCAAGTTTACCATGATTTGACTTATACATAATTCTTTTTTTTTTTTTTTTTTTTTGGATTCGTACCTGATTCTGAACAGAGGCTGATTGCCTTCTTACCTCTTACCCAATTAGGAATGGCTTCGGGACCTAACCCCATCACTGTGCAAGGGACTCATCTAATAAAGAATCCTCTTCTGCTGTTGATGCCAAACCCAAGGTCTCGCTGAGTCAAACACAGATGGGAACAGGCCAATGGCACAGCCTGGTTGTGTATGTTGACAACTCTTTTGTTTAGAACTTGAATCCAGTTAGGTGCTTCCTTAGGGGAAATATTAATACAGCCTACATGTTTACGTTTCTTTTACAGGAAAAGTATCCCAACCCCTATTCATCCTTCCTTTATACCAACACTAGATTAATGTTCCTAAAATACAATATCATAACATGCTCTTGATGAGAACCTTACAAAGATAGGGCAGTGTCTGTACAATACAATTCAGACTTCATGGTCTAATCATCAATGGGCCTAGTCTTAGCTAATCTTTTGATTCCCTCCCAGTTAGATTTTCCTCCTCATTCTTTCTGGAACATGCATAGCATTTCTACTCTTGCTCACATAGTTCTTTTTGCCTTGAATGAGCTGCCCATTGATCGACATGTACCTATATCCTACCCATTCTTCAAGGACTAACTTGCAACCTACATCCACCTTGACCATATCAGTTTACGGGGATCCCTGATGAGTCTACTGCTTGAGCATGTACAGGTCCACTACAGAGTCCAGCTGGTAATATTGTTCCCACTTGGATTCACTATTCCAATGGGCAACTCTGGAGTGAGAACTTTGCCTATGAGTGAATGCACAGAGGTGGGAATTCCAGGGAAAGTCTTGGAAGTGACAAGATGTGTAGTTAGCACTCAGTCAACATTTGTGATCTGCATCTTGTATTGTAACAAACTGTATCTTGTTCTGGATTTAAATGTAGGAAAATTGTATATCTTGATAGTCAATAGCAATGAGCCATAAGGTCCAATAACCTCATCTAGAGAATTCCTGGGACTGGAGATGGCAGCTGGTCCTGGACATTCTTGCCTTGTCATGTGGTGCCTTTCAGATGCTGGTCAGGTGTGCTCTTCCCACTGGGCCGTACTTTCCCCATTTACCGTCATATTATTATCTGTTCTTGGACATGCTCTGCGATTAAGTAGCATCAATTATGCACCAATGGTTGGAGTCCCTTGGTGACTTATAAGTTCCTAAGATAGTCATGGGTCTCACTTTGGCAGGGAGATTCTATCCCTGACTTAGGTATTATATTCTAGTGACTCAGGATTATGAACTAATATTTCTTTTCTGTCGTTGTTTGGCACATATTTTTATTTGTTCTAATTAGTTATACATGACAGCAGAGTGCATTTTGATTCATTGTACACAAATGGAGCACAACTTTTCATTTCTCTGGTTGTACACAATGTAGAGTCGCACTATATATGCAGTCACACATGTACCTAGGGTAAGGATGTCTGTCTCATTCCACCATCTTTCCTGTCCCCATCCCCCCTCCTCTCCACTCCTTCCCCTTTGCCCAGTCAAAGTTCCTCCATTCTTCCCATGTGCTGCCCGCCCCCCTTTATGGATCAGCATCCACTTATCAGAGAAAACATTCAGCCTTTGTTTTTTGGGGATTGGCTTACTTCAGCATCCATTTTCCTGAAAATGCTGGGCTGGGGATATAGCTCAGTTGGTAGAGTGCCTGCCTTGCATGCACAAGGCCCTGGGTTCAGTTCCCAGCATCTCCCCCACCACCACCACCCCAAAAAAAAGAGCTAATATTTCTCAGTCTATTCATTGCGTGGAAAACCTTGGCTTTAACACACATGATTAGGACATTGATTCCAACAGCTGTGGTGCAGTCACATCTCAGAAACATGGTGTTCCATGAGAGAAAAGCTTCCATCCACGGAGTGGGTGGCCAGACTTTGGCATCCTTGTCTTCCCCAGGAAGACAGTGCTGTAATGTCTTCCTGCATCTGTGAGCAAAGGAGAATGGTCCAGTGCTGTACATGGCTCTATAAATCCTCCTGTACACGTTAGAAGCCAAATATAAACAAGCAAGCTCTCATAGGGGAAGGCCTTTCTATTCTTATGAACCACATTCCTGTGATGTTTGTTGTCTGCACTGGAGAAGGGCGGAGGAAAAAAAAATGCAGTATATGCTTAGTGGAAAGGATGTGGGAATGCCAGGGAAACACATCCCTTTAAAACCAGTTTCTAGGCAATAATTACCTCCCCAGAAGCAAACATGTGACTATAGGAATATTAGCAAATAACGATGATTGAGTGCTTACGGTGTGCCAGGCCTTGTTCTAGTCCTTTTGCATATATCCTCTCATTTAATCCACATCCCAACTGTATGGCTTGGGTAGAGTTGTTATCTCTACTTGAGACCCAGGGAAGTGAAAGAACTTACCAGAAGCCACACAGGTAACAAATACAGAGCTGGGAATTGGAGCCATGCAGACAGATTTCAGATTAATACTTACCAAAACCTCAGGGAGCCCCGCCCCCAGGAAACATTTCCCCCCCATGGCTCCTTTAGGCAAAGATCAAAGATAACTTCTCTTATTTACATTGTTTGGGATGCCTCACTGAATAATCTGTCCTACCAAATTTGAAATTGCAGCATATTATTTATGTATATGATTTTGCTAAAAGAAATCTGACCCTGGGGTCCCTCTGCCCTTGTTTAATTCCCTCCTGTTCCCAGTTTGTAACAACCTGTGTCTTTTGGATTGAGATTTTTATTCTTTGTCTCCAAATTAACACTGCACAGCACAGGGCTGTGTGCGTGTGCGTGTGCGTGTGTGGAAACCGCCTTTTCTTCTGGATTAAATCGTTGCAGTCTGGCTGAGTGAGGAGAATTTCTCCCACTGGCCGAGCCCACCGCAGACATGTTAAGAGAAGGCTGCTGCCTGCAACACACCCAGCAACGGTCGGGCAGGTGACGCTGCGTGTGTGCCCAGCATCTCTTGGAAGTGTCTGCACAGATGTGTGCCGCTCCTGCTCCTGCTCCCTGCCTTCACATTCCTAGAGCCAACACCCACCCACTCTGACAGCCTCTCTCTCTCTCTCTCTCTTTCTCTCTCTTTCTCTCTCTCTTTTTATTTTCAAGGAAAAAAGAAAGCGGCAGACGGAAATAGAAGGCAAACGACAGCAGCTCGACGAGCAGGTACTCCTGCTGCAGCATTCCAAGGTAAGCGGCTGATCCCAGGAACCTGTGCCATTATTAGCCATGCAGATCACACTCGGGAGAGCTGGGCAGAGCCTGCCTGGCCGCCAAGGCGCTGCAACGGCTGAACCAGCCTTTTTCATTCAATCGGGAAACCATCTCTTGGCTTTTCTTGTGGATTTCTGAGATTCAGGGCATCGTCACAGCATTCTGATTTCTCAGATCACAGTGTGCATGTGGATGGGGTGCAGGGTGGTGTGTGCCTGTGAAATGTGGTGGCTATATATAGACATTGGAAGAGCAGACTCCACATGGTCCGGGGCTGCTTCTCCTGTGCCTTTGCTCAGAGGCTCCAAATGTACTTTTTTAAAAAAATTAAAAATGTTAATATCTTTCTTGACACAGAGCAAAGGGAGATAAAGCCCTGGGATCTGAGGAAAGAACAACACTGTGCATTGCAGATTACTCTTCTATTTCATTTCTACTTTAGCAATTTTACAAGTGTTCTGTTAAAATGAGCAGTTGGCCAAAAATGGCTTTTGGATTTATTTGTCTGGATTGGGTCTCCCTTGCACTGTATTAAAAAGAAAGAGGGAGAGAAAGAGCTGTTTTATTTATTTATTTCTCTCTAAAGCATAATGCTCTTAAGCATCATAATTGATTACAGCCCAGGAGAAATCTCTGTCACTGTCACAGGGACTCCACTGGTGGCTGAATGTTGCTTTGCTCATGTTCAGAGGATAAAGTGACCACATTCCATGGCCGTCTACAAGTGGATGCTTGCTTTGGACTGCTCCTGGGCTTTTTTTTTTTTTAAGGAAGACCTTCTGCTCCAGAGAAGTTGCCATGACCTTGTGTACATAGAATTGCTTTGCTCGGGGGCTGGTTGGGAAAGTAGTGCTGAGTCTCTGGGCAATGCAAAGTAGGGATTATTTGGACATTTTTAAAACAAAGTGAACCTTCATGGTTGCATTTCCTATTCCTCTCTAGAAAACAGGGTTGTGCTAAATGAATCCTCAAAATGAGAATCATGAGCAAGCTGGTGGGTGATTTCAAAGAGCAGCATGACCTATATCTGCTTTGCATGCTTATCAGTTTACCAGTAACCTGAACCAGAGAATTGTGCTTAAAAGGGAGAAACGCAGCATGATACTGAGACTGCTGTCCATTGTGAAAATCCATTTTCAAGTAAGGGCCTGACAAGATCCATATGTTGTTACTCTTTCCTGACAACATTCCCAAGGGAAGATTGAGACTAAAATTAGTATCCTCTTCTTCCAGAGAGGGGGACTTAAAACACTGATAGAACAGAGTGAGTTGCTCAAGGTCAGTCTGGACAGGGCAGGATCTGTAGCTCAGAATACAGTCAATTAGTCAATACACTTCGGTAAGAGGCTGACATGTACTAAAACCTCTGTGAACTCTTGGTGAAAAGGTGAGCTGAGCCCATTGGGTGAGAGAGGCTGATTTGACTAGACAGCCTCTCTCCTTTCCAGCTTCAGGCTCATCTCTGCTCTCGCATTCTTTGAATCCAAAATCAGGCAGTCAACATATGTCATAAGACCAGGTTCCTTTTGTCCCACTTCTCATCTTTCTGGGTGCCAAACGAGATACCAAAGACTCATTCATTGCCTATGTCCATCACAGTGTTAGAATGTTCTGTCCATTCTTCATCTGTGCCTCCACTGATCTGTTGATCCATCATCTACCCATCCATCCAATCAACAGACAGAATAGTAAAAAGGCCTGAGTTTTGTGGGAGTAAGCAATGAGGTTCTTTCAGGGGCTTGGAAACAAGGGAATCAGATAGTTCTTCCTGAGTTTGGCTATCTAGGGGTGCACCCAGCACATTATCAAGAAGTCTGGAGTGGGAGGACTAGAGGTGACTGAATCCAGTTAAGTGGAGACCAGTGCATTGGCTTGTCTTCTCTCTGGGGAAAGCTTGTGTGGACATAATGAGGATGGATTGTTAGCCTTGAATAATAAAAAGGAGAGCTTAGAGGTTCTAAAGGTGACAGTGTGTCTTGTACCAGCTGGAGAGAGACCCCCAGCTCCGAAAGGTCCTGGGCTTCCGTGCCTGGGGAGGAAGGGTTGCTGGCAAGGCCAGAGGAGTCATAGGCCTCACTGTGGCCCAGGGGACGCCTCCCTCCTGGTCCTGCCACTCTTTGATCTGAGCCCATCCTCCTTAAAATAGTTGCATTATTTTGATAGAAGGAAGAGAGGGCCTGATGGAGGGATGAGGTCACTTCAGACACCAAAAAGGAATGGGTTCCACTTCAAATCAATTGACAGTTGACTGAACTTGACTAGTGTGAGTCATCTTCCCTAGAATCGTTTGGTTTCCAGCTTGGTGGCCTCACCCCTGGATGGAAGAAGATTCTCTGGGGTTGTATTTCCTCCTCCGGGAGCCTCAGAGGAGAGCCAGCTCTGCCCTGGCAGTACAGCAGCCTGGGAACCTCTTATCTACCCTCTATGGTAGTATTTTTTGAATACCCAGCATGTGCCTGATACTTTAAATGCCTGTCCTCAATAGTGACCACCAGGTGGATGTTGGTCTCCCCATCCCACAAGTACAGAAATACATCCATGAGGTCAAGTAATTGGCTCAAGGACACAGAGACTGTAAGCAAGGGAGCCCAGGCTGAACCCCAGGACTGTCTGCTTCCAAAGATCAGGTTCTTCCCAGGACGCTCTTCTCTTTGAGCCAACTGTTTCCTTTTGATGATTTGCTTAGAAAGATGCCAATTGCTGTCACCACTGTCTTTTCACTCTAACTGTATTTCTATGGGCTCCAGAAAGTTTAGACCATGTGGAGACTTGTCACAGTGATTATTGTAGGTTTCTTAAGTAGAAAATATTAGGAAATATGTCAGTAATTACTACCAATTTCACTAATTTTATAAAATCCCAGATGCTCTTGAAGGGAAAAAAAATATTCTAGTACAAAGAAAAATGGAAAACCATTAGAGTTTGGTTTCCTTTTTATTTAGATGTAATTCTTATATTCTTCATATAATTCTCATATTCCATATATGTAAATCACATATGAGAATCAAGTAGTCTATGGACACTTCTTGTCATGCAGTGAGATATGAATTATTTAGACAGATTCACTGGTCTCTTGTCAAAGCAAATAAATAGAATACAAGGCACATAGTTTTGACATTTTGATGTTTGTTTTATATATTTGCTCATTGCAATATTTAGGTATATACAGTAGCTTCAAGGAGTGGAATATCATTACTTTATACATGTGAGCAAACTCCTTAATGCAAAGAAGGACCAAAGTATGAAATGTTAAAACATGAGCTGCTACACCACAGTGATTAGGAAACCTTGAAGATATTTTAGTTTCTGGCCAAATTAAACTTAAGACTTTTTTTTCCTTTCCTTCTCCTTCATTCCTTCTTTTCTTTTTTCTTTTAGTGGTGCTAGAGATTGAACACAGGGCCTCGTACCTGCTAAGCAAATGCTCTACCACAGAGCTATATCCCCAGCCCTTTTTATTTTATTTTGCAACGGGATCTTGCTAAGTTACCCAGACTGGCCTTGAACTCGTGATCCTCCTGCCTCATCCTCTTGAGTAACTGGGATGACAGGCATGCACCATTGTACCCAGCCTCAGATTTCTTTTTAGAAGATGCCTAGCTCTGTTTAGTAACTAATACTTATGAGGTAGGAATTCCCAAGAAACACAAATAGAACCAGTAAGTAATTTCGGTTGCTGGATTATTCTTGCTTATTATAAAAGGAAGAAATGTGTGGTCATTGCAAAAACTCAATTTAAACGTATAAGAACATACCTAGATGAAAATATCAATTGCATCTTCCCCACCTAGATATAACCCACATGGGGTGTATGCTGCTATCCTTTCCCTGCAAGGTACCTTTATAGATTAAGATATGTAACCCTTGTCTACAGGTCTCACCAGCCTATTTGTAAAATGAGATCATATTAACATCAGAGTCCTCATTACATTAACCTTTACCTCTATTTTGATTTTTACATGTGGGTTCCTTTAAGTTCCCATACAAAAATTTATGATTTTTGTGAAATTACAACAAACCTTGTTTTACTTCATGCTTTCTGACTTGGATGTCATCCTTGGAAGATTTTCAATCTCAAACATTTACCTATGAGATTTCTTATACTTCAGTAGTTTTAACCCACCTAGAACTTATTTTCCCATAAGGTATGAGGTAAGAATCTACATTTCCCTCATCATGAGCCACTGTCTCAACTTGATTTACTGATTAATTCATCCTTTCCTTCCCTGATTTAAATGTCATCGATATCACATACTCCCTTACTCTCAAGTCCACTGTTTGTGGATTCCTTTGTTCTCTCCCTGTGCCCATCCGGGGGCCGGTGCCATTCTTGCTTAATCCCAATGGCTCTTTAATGTTGAAATATTTCATAAGGCAAGAGCCATCAACATTCTTCTTTTGAAAAACTGTCTTGGTTTTTTATTCCATGGAAACAATTATTTATTGTTTATTGTTTTCATAATAAGATTTGTGATCATGTGAGTTTTTTTTTTTAATAAATCAACTACAGTGTTACATCAGAGAAGACTGAATTTAATATTCCCTTTTGCCTCTTGGTTGAAGGGCCAGAGATTTGTCTATTTTATTGGGCTGTTTAAAGTCCCAGCACAGAGTGTGAGCTCTGTAGTGCTGCAACCTGTGCTCCGTGGGGACTTTCACGTTTGTAAAGGTTTGTCTGACACCGTCAGAACTGTCAGAATCAAATTGCTAATATTGCAGCTTCAATACATAAGCTGCCTTTGAATGATTTATTCATGAGCAGGGAACCCCAACTAGAGTTTTCTCCTAACCCAAGCTATGAAAATGGTGGTTATATTTTAAAGGCCACAGTCTTTTCTGTAGAGACAACTGAATGGGAAAAAGATGAAAGGCTGAATCATGACCCTGTGAAATATTTATTGTCAGCCCACCAAGGTCATTTGCTGAGCTGGCCTAAGGCATCAGGAACATTGCTGCAAAGAGTCTTTTGCTATTTTGAACTTTTGGCACTAATTTGAGACTTTTCTTGGTTATTAGTACATGTGAAAGAATGATTTTGAATTTAAATATTCAACAGATAACCATAGCTCACCATATAAAGGAACTTTACATCTTTTCCTTTTTCCCATCAGGTGTCCTCTGGCCCCACAAACAGTTTGAGTGGAGGTGAAACTCTCTTTCTTCTTTCAGGAGTCTTGGGTTGGCATCTCCCTATGTCAAGGGAATCATTTAACAAAATTGCAGAACTAAACCAAGATCATATAAGGTGGCACAAAGGAGGAAGAAAAGAATAAAAGGGTTAGGAGAGAGGGGAAGAGGTAGGGGCACAAGAAAATGATTGAAAATGCAAACACAACTTTTGCCTCACCCTGAGTTTAACCAATTAACCCGATTCCAGCCATCATCCACTGTGGCAGCCGATGTTAGCTTTAGCCAGATTACAGGTGAATGGTGGGGTGAAAGGCAAAACATGAAAGTTCCAGAATGAATCACAGATGAATATTTTTATAGTGCAGCGGTGAGGAAGTCTTAACGTCTGACATCAATGCCAGAATTATGAAAGATGGATTGCTAAACTTGATCAAAAAATAGACACTTGTGAGTCCTGATTTGTCTCTGACCTTCACACCTGCCCCACCCACCTGCTCCAGACACTTCTCACTGTTTGCTTAGGTCACCTTCAAAAGTGGCTTCAGGCTGGGCAAGGTGGCATATGCCTGTAATCCCCGTGGCTCAGGAGGCTGAAGCCAGAGGATCACGAGTTCAAAATCGACCTCAGCAAAAGCTGTCTGTAAATAAAATATAAAATAAGGCTGGGGATGTGGCTCAGTGGTCAGATACCCCTGATTCATTCCCCCATACCCCCCCCCAAAAAAAGTGGCTTTACATCAGTTACCTTATCTGTACATGAGAAAGATTGGGTTAATTCATCTCAAAGGCCTTTTTTAGGTGTATTAGTTGAGGATTTTTATGTTTGTTAAAATGCAGCGTGTGGGCATGGCTGTTCAGAGTCATTCCTTCAGCAGGTGCTTACAACCAGCTGCAGCCTCACATGTCAGTCTCACAGATGAATGAAAAATGCATCACTGACTGCAAGGAACTAAGGGATGGGGTTGGTTATCAAGAAGGAAATGCTACTGGAGAAGCTGGAAAGTAGTTATCCAGGTTAGGGAGAAAGGCAGTGGTGCCTGCCGATTTTGTCAATCTTATTTGGGTGCTTTTCGGCGCTGAGGATTAAACCCAGGGCCTCATACATACTAAGCATATGTTTTACTACTTAACTACACCCCACCCCTACACACACACACACACACACACACAAACACACATGATTCCTGGGTGAGGCAGGATAGTAAAGTACACCCTGTGGCCAATCACTTTAGCAGTACAGTTAGCAATCACTTATATATGAACAAATTACATGTCTTTAAATTTGTATTGGAAAATTGCAGGTCAGTTGCTATAAATTTGTCTCTCTGTGCTGTAAGAATGACCAACAGATCTCTGCAATGATTTATAATGAAATGATTTATAATTAAATGGCAACACACACACAGTAAAAGCCATGGCTGGCTTTACACCCTCTGCTGATGCATTGCTAACAAAGGGTCCATTCTGGACATGCAGGGTTTCTAGACCAAACTGTGCATCTGGCAGAGTCACCACGGTGATGAATGAGTGGCATCTGGATTTCTCTGTAGAATGGTGAATCAGAACCATTAGGGAACTGTAAATTACTGTTGCTAAATACTGGTAATTTAAAAAAACTCCTTGTATAGGCTCATAATAAGCAGCCTGCAGTCCAACAGAAAGATGAGAGTCTATGGAATTGTGCAAGGTTTGCTCATTAGAGCTACAAAAAGTTTGCTCTGAGCCTGCCTGCCCTGACTGTTGGCCTTTACCCTGCTCATCCTGCTTTATCAGACTAAAAAAATTTTTTTGAAAATTGTTTAGTTTTCAATGGACCTCTATTTTATTTGTCTGTTTTTATGTGGGGCTGAGAATCAAACCCAGTGCCTCACACATGCTATGCAAGTGCTCTGCCACTGAGCTATAATCCTATCCCCTCCCCCACCACCGCAAATTTCTTGCCAGAGGTGATGCTAAGGAATCAGGGAAGCTAGTCCTCACTCTGCCTTGACTGATCTCTTAGCTTTTACTCCTTTTGTTCCTTCACTGGCCTCTGTTACTGGGAAGAATCTGTCATGTGCCCTGAGTCCTCATACGGACTGCATAATATATTATACAAGGTGGGGTATGCTTTTAATAATGTTGGGGACCACTGCTAGGGAGGTTTTGGAGTCATTAAAAAGTTTTTAAGAAGAGACACAACATAGGTTAGTTTTTTAAAAGAACACTTTTAACTTGGACTAGACAGTGGATGATTTAGGAAATTTTACAAGGAAGTTGTAATTGCATAGAAAAAAAGGTCCTTTTTTTTAGAGACTCATACTGAAATATTGATGGGTGAGATGTCATGGTGTTTGATATTTACTTTAAAATGCTTTGGTGAAAAACATGTGGGAAAATATGGCATAGTGTTTATAATTGTTTAATCTAGATGAGATCACATGGGTATTTATTATACAGTTCACTTGATTTTTCTTTTTAATAATAGAAAATAGACACCAACAGCTGTCTCAGGGCCACACTTTCTCCAGATTAGAGTGTGGATGGTTCTGTACTGTGTCCCTGTTCAAATGTAACCTATCAATAAGCCCTTTTGGACCCACCCTATAAATATAGCAACACCCTCCATATCCCTCCCCAACCCTTGCATTTCCCAGCAGCACCATCTGGGGGAAAGTAGATACACTGATGTGTGTGTGAGTGTGTGTAAGTGTCTATTATGTGTATATAAAATGTTTGTTGTCTCCTGACTAAAGTAGAAGCTGCAAAAGGACAGAAATTTGTTTTGTTTTAGCAGCCAGAATAATGCTGGGCATGTGGTGGGTTCTTAGGAAATATTTAATAGAATTTTTTAAAATGTGGAAATAAGTCTCTCTGGCGACTCGCTGGAGGTTGGGCTGGAGGGAAATGGGGAGCCAAGTCAGTGAGGAGGTGAAGGCAGTGATCCAGGTGGAGCTGATGAGGGGCGGAGCTAAAACGACAGGCCCTGCGATGGAGTGCAGGATGTGGATGGAAAGGTGTCATCTTGTCTGTTATCCTCCCTCATTCCCACAGTCCAAAGTGCTTCGGGAAAAATGGCTGCTGCAGGGTATCCCCGCTGGAACTGCCGAAGAGGAGGAAGCCAGGCGGCGGCAGTCTGAGGAGGATGAGTTCAGAGTCAAGCAGCTGGAGGATAACATCCAGAGGTAGGTGGTTTGCAGCCCTGGGGCCCCAGGCTGAGGTTGGCAGTGCAGGGACCACTTCTTGCCTCTAGGAGGCCTTTCCCAATGAGGTCACTTTTCCCAGCACTTTAGAATTACCTAGCTACAGAGCGTGTAGGTGTCCCTCAACTTCCCCCATGACCCAGTGTTACTGCTCAGAGTTCTGAGTATTGTATTGGGGTGCAATACGGTAAGTACAGTGATGTCTTCCTGGGCCAGTGAGGTGTTGCGAGTACCTTGTCCTCTTGCAGATTGCCCCATTTTTAGTTCTTTTATCAGCTTTTGTCTTTTTCCTCCTGGGAATGAGGCTGTCAGCAGTTATTGCCCCAGCAGGGGGTATGTTTGCATATTTGCTACAGGGGATCAATTTGAAATGGGAAAATGGTAGCTAAGGGTCTTGGGGTTGAAGTGAAGACTACCTAGGGCAGGGCAAGTGAGAGTGCCTCTGTAGATTGTGTGCCTGGGCTCCTTGAGTCAGCTTGGCATTATCCACTTGTGCTGCTCCGAGGGCTGGTTGCTTTCTTTATGGATCTCATTTCATTCTGGGAGACAGGTGACCTGCTTGTGACCTCTGGGTAGCCATGAGTAGAAATGTACGCTTGCACTTGGGAACTGTTGCAATCATGAGTCTCGATAGTGAACCCCAAAGACATACTTCAGCTTCTGTCCCCATTTTGCTTAGATCCTAATGTCCCCTAAATAGCTTTCAGAGTAGCTTGGCTAAACTTTATATGTGTGGGAAATAGGCCAAGAAAAAGTTGGTGTGTACATGTAAGCACATACACACACGCATATATACACACATGATACATATATACATGTTTTCTTAGAATACTAAAAAGGTTATGGCTGAACTGTTACCAGCCATTTAAGCTATATATACTTATGTATAAGAAAAAGAGTAGGTGTTGTTATTGGCAGAAGGCTGGGAAAAAAAATGAAGACAGATTTGTGAAATAGGAATAAAATTAGTTTTATAAACTTTTCGAACAAAACTAGCCACTTCATTGTGGCCTGAGCCTGAATATGTTGTCATCATGGTCCAGTAGGTATTAAATCTTATCTGTAAACTGAGCCATGCCATATGGAGGCCAGATTCTTAAATTGACTCAGTTTTGGCTAAATGACCATTGAAATGAGGTGTAATATTAGGGACAGGTTTACTATTCGGGTGGGCATGATCATACTCAGAAAGATAAAGGAAATCTCTTTTTACCTTTGAGGATAAAGAACTCACTCAGTGCATGAAGACAAACTCTTTGAGCTCATTTAAGAGTTGGATGTCCAAGCCAGAAGGAATTAAATCACAATAGACTAAAGGGGTGGGTGCTTAGGCCCAGATTCAGGGAACACTTTAGCCCCTGTACTGGCCTTGCCAACATTAGCCAAACAGGAATTGGGTGCTAGGGATTAGCTGTGTGCCCAGAGCAGGGCCACTGTGGGCATCATCTCCTGAGGACTTTCTTCCTACCTCGAAGTCAGTTTTTGCTTCCCCTCATCTTGCATCTTCTCTACCACAGGCCCAATAACCCTTATCCAAAATGCTTATCCAGAAGTGTTTCAGATTTGGGATTTTTTTAAGTTCTGAAATATTTGCATATACATAATGAGATATCTAGAGGATGGGACCCAAGTCTAAACTCAAATTTCATTTATATTTTGTGTATATACCTTATACTCATAGACTATAGGTGATTCCATACAATATTTTTAATAATTTTGTGCATGAAACAGTTTAGTGTACATTGAATTACCAGAGGTCAGGTATGGAATTTTCCATTTGTGATGTCATCTTGGTGTTGAAAATGATTCAGATGCTAGAGCATTTTCAATTTTAGATTTCCAGATTAGAGATGCTCAACCTGTACAGCGTTCAGCATCTTTAGTCCCAAGGGAAGAAAGGATCTTCTCTCCCTCTTCCTGTAGAGGTCACTTGGTCCCCTATGACACCTGCCTAGAGTGGGGCAGAGTTGACTGTAGGGCTCATGGTAAACGTAGACACCCTGCAGTTACGGAATCTGTGGGATTGGCTGCAGACCCTGCAGACTTCCGATTTTAGCTAAGTGGCTCTAAGCTGCAGGTTGGATGTGTCTACTCTTATTTTCTCTTCATTGATAGGTTGCTGTTATTCTGTTTTTATGGCAACAGAAGCAAGGTCTATGCTCAGAACAATCTATACATTCTTAGCTAACGCAAGTCCATGGTCAAGCCCACAATCCAGGGAAGGAGACAGACAGCTTTTAGTGGAAGAAACACAGATCAGAAAAGGGTGAAGGATGGGAGTGGATAATTCCATCTTTTTTTACATGATGGTTGAAGTGAAAACTGTTAGGGAGAACCGAGCAGCCTGAGGGAACTGTAGAAAAGCCAGTTAATAAGAAAGAAGACACACTCAAACAACTCAATAGTACAGAGGGAAGGAAGAGGAAAGTAGACAGAAAATGAGTGGCTTTGGGGTCAGTTTCAGAATTTGATCATTATATAATGGGGATTTCAGAAACTATCTAATTGGATGTGGCAGGACCACTAAATAAAGGAATTTCAAAGGAAACTTTCTTTGTTTGAAGCAAAATATTAATTGGTAGATGTTTTGATTGGGGCCTGCTGGTCTAAGTCACTTGCAAGCAATAAATTAATTACTCCTAAAGAGACATAAACTGCTTTCAAACTGTAAAGTATCTGAGTCCAGTTATTCCCTGAAGGTATTTCGGTTCTCATTGTGAACCAACAGTAGATTGAAGAAACTGAAGGAAGAAGAGAGAATAGTAATCAAAGAACAGGTAAAATTCCCACAAGGAGAAAATCAAAGGAAATTTGTGCATGAAACCATTTAGAAAAAGAAAAGATGATAGTTACCTAATGCAGAACTTCTAGTACATCTGGGGTTTGTCTTTATCTCTGACCATTTCAAATATGATAAAGATAAATTTGCGTGCTTTCAAATAAAGTATGCGAATTTTCACTAAGACGTATGTCTGTTTCCCTAAATACCTTCAAGAAAAAAAGAACATAACCACCTTTCTAATTCTAAGATGCCTTACAACCAATAGCTGCGCCAGAAGAGCCAGGTTCAAGGACCCGTTCTCTTCTGAAATGTCATTCCTACCTGGGTGTTTGCCTTGATGTAGGGAATGTTGTCTCTCTTCCAGAACTATTGTTTGTGATTCTTGGATTTTTAGGGCAACCCAAGAAGAAAGATAGAAGGAAAAGAGGAAAGAAGGAGGGAAGGAAAATATAACTAGAATATTAAAGCCCGGGCATTGGAATTACCTGGGGAGCTTTTAAAACATAAGGATTCCCAGGTCTCATTACAGAAATTTGAATTCAGTGACCCATGTAAGGATCCCTAGTATCTGTGCTTTTTCAAAAGAGTACGATAATTCTGATGTGCATTCAGGTTCAAGAACAACTGCTGCCAAGAAAAAAAAAAAGAAGAAGAAGAAGAAGAAGCTGTAAAGGAAATCCCATCTTAATACTTAAGTAAAACCCTGAAGGAGAGGAAGTAAGTAGTATTTATAAGAAAATCAATAACACACACAGGATAAAGAAGGACAACCCTGACCCTTGATTTCAAACTGATTGTGGGCCTTCCTGCTTTGACTCAAGGAAATTTGAAACCGGCTCTGGGAATTCCTGGAGGTGAGAAGAGTTCTGGCAGAGAGCTAAGTCCCCTCCGCCCCACCATGGAGCCCAGCTTCCATTTGAACTTGATAAGAAGCAGCCTTGGTTTACAAGGCTCAAAATGATACAGGTCAGGAAAGCTGGTCACTCACCAAAGACCAAAAACCTTTTACCATTTTTTGGAGAGTTTTGGCTGAAATTCAAAGCTGTTTCCAAAGTGGCTGGAAAGGCAGAAGAGAAGCTGATCACCACAGTGGAGTAATAGATCATGATTCTTCTGCTCCGTTTTCTCCTGGGTAATGTCAGGAGTGTATTTTTGGCTTGCTGGAAAACAGAGGTAAGAGAGGCTAAATTAGATCCAAATTGTTGAAAGCCTCTGGGCGTGGTGGCATACACCTATAAAATCCCAGAAGTTTGGGAGGCTGAGGCAGGAGGATTACAAGTTCAAAGCCAGCCTTGGCAACTTATCAAATCCCTAAGCAACTTAGTGAGATCCTGTCTCAAAAAATATAAAGGTTTAGGGATGTGACTCAGTGTTTAAGTGCCCCTGGCACAAAACAAAAAAAAAAAAAAAAAAAAAAAAAAAAAAAAATATTGAAAGCAAAATCTATTTACCTTAAAAAAATTTTTTTTGTATGTTGACATCTGTTGTATTTCCCGTTGGTGGACTACTATATTGAGAAAGTCCAAGGGGTCATTTCTGGGTTGGGCCCATTGCCAACCATTATCCATGTCCTCAGTGTATGTGACGGAGCCCTGGGGGCTGCACACAAGCTCATAGTGATGCTCTTGGAGGCTTTAGCAATCAGATCCACACAGACCTTGTCTAATTCACATCTGCTCCAATCAGCACATCTTATTGCTCGTCTTGTGATATTCTTCACTTAAGATTCTATTTCTAATTTCTTCAGGTTTCTTTTTGGAGGGTGGGTCCTGGGAATTGAACTTAGGGGCACTGGGCCACTGAGTCACATCCCCAGCTCTATTTCATATTTTATTTAGAAACAGCGTCTTACTGAGTTGCTTAGTGTCTCGCTTTTGCTAAGGCTGAGTTTGAACTCTCAGTCTTCCTGCCTCAGCCTCCCGAGCTGCTGGGATTACAGGCGTGTGCCACCACCCCCTGTTTTTTATTAGCTTTTATTCAAGCATTTAACATATAGTTTTCTTAACTTTCTTTGTTTAGTAACAAATATGGGAAAAATTTGGTTTAGGATGCAGGTCAAAATTGGGGAAAAAGTTGGCTTCTTTGGAGAAACAAAAGCCCCATGTGTAAGGTACTGATTCCTCACAGAGATGGCTGATTCATCTGAACAGCTGTCAGTTCTAAAATATGTCACATCAAATATTCATTGAATAGAATACAG